CAGGACTGTGTGCGTGCATGCATGGCGTGGAGGGAAACGGGCGTTCTGATATTTGGATAGACGGGCAACTTGTTTTTCGCGAGGAAGGATAGCTTTGAAGGGGACTTGTATATGTAGATAGGATGAGGTGTAAGAATGGAAAGAATTGAGTGAATACATTTGGATTGTTTGTTGTGGCGTGATGTGATGTTTAATGTGAAATGAGAGATGTTGATTGGCAGTCTACTGCATTTTTCAAGCAGGAAATACCTCTTTCAAAGCTTACCTACACAAGTTTGATGGGCTGAATACTTTCCAGTCTATTCTCGGATATGTCAAAGGGGGCATTTTCGCACGATCAAGAAATAGTAAGATCGTATGAAGTTAATATTACACCAAAGAAGTGGACTACCAAATGCACACGCAGATGGATATCTGCACGAAGGATTCCATCTCAGGAAAATCAAAAAGTAATTCTAATATTGCAAGCAAGCAGCTTGATTCATCTTCACGCCTCCTAACGCCAAGTTTCGAATATTTTCGTCCTTCCATTATCCCATTCGCATTTCGTATTGATCCAGATCCTTTCCATTCCTCGACTGCCAAGTAAACTCCGTAGATTGTGTCTAGCCTCTGTTCACAGATGTGAAGCCGCCAGCTCCATTGGCTCCGTTGCCATTAGGTGTTTCTTCACGACCACTATCTCCCATTTCTACGTCGTCATCTAGGGGGGTGCTGTTTTCGAGTTTCTTTGCATTTTGCATCGCTTTGAATAGGTTTTCGTATCGTTCTGTGGTTGCAGCATCTGCTTCTCTCCATCCACTTGCCAAAAGACGATCGATGTCAAGGTTTCCTTCCTTGATACCACGTCTATGCTGTACCATCATGGGCCCACGTAATTCCTGACAGTATAGTTCGAAGCCTGATGCAGGCGTTTTGGGTGGTCCAGAAGGGGGGATAGATGGAGAATGGGAGGCTGAGTGCGGCGTTCGCCCGCCCATAGGAGTAGAATTGGAGAGTGCGCGGCGAGGAGATATTGGTTGTGGATGGGCAACGGAGGTATTGAAGCTATTAAATGTTCCTTGGCTAGGGTTACTCGGCATATCGAGATGTGTATGAGAGAAGGAGGAGGAGGAAGGTGAGATAGCGAGATTAGCATTCAAACTGTTGGGCAGTGGAACGGTTGGATCACCGAGGGTATTCAGGAAAGAGGGCTTGCGATGACCACGCTTTGTGCGCAATGGCTTTTCTTGAGGCTACGAATTTCCATGTCAGATGTCTTTTTGCAATCATATAGAAAGGGACACGGAAGAAGAGATATAGATGAACCTACTGTTGGAGGTGGGCTTGGGGAACCCTCTGAATCTTCCACATTTGTACTCGTTCGTTTCGACATTTGTTCCAACAGGAAGGCTCGCTCCAGACGCATCTTGTTAATTGCTCGACGCATTCGTGACAACCTGAGGCGCGCGGCATCATTGGCTTCTTCGACTTCATTCATTCGAGTCTTGAGTTGGATACATTTACGTTTGTATGATTCTTCGACCGATGGGGGTAGTGTTGGTGGGTTTTTGGATATTCCGTTGGACGCCATTTTGATTTAATGGTGGTTGTCCAACAGATGAAGTCGACGTTAAGCTTCGAAGGGGATCAACCACTATCCTGAGCTTCACAGTAATGCGACACCTGAAGTTCGCGAATCGATAGGGTAACGCCGGTTGATCTGATAAAACGTGGTTGAAGGAGATATGTTGGTTGTGGAGCGCAATCTTGAACGTTGGTATTAGCACTAGATTCGTTCCACTACCTGGACTTGGGGCCCTTTTAATAGCTATAAAGTATTATGAATGGATTGATACAATATACGTACTGTTGAAGCTGATGAATTGAGTGTATTGAATTTTCGACTTGGATTTTGCGCAAATTCGATGATTGTTTTGATGAGTTTCGTATGATGAGAATATATGTACGGTTTTGTAGTATTCGCGTTGGTTGTCTCGAATTTAAGCTTCACATCGCATTTCATTCTTTGGTCTATGAAGCTATTCAAGTCGGGTAAACTATGGCATGACAGCTCCTGGGCATGCATCGAAAATTATTGATGCCTCACAAATTAAGGCCAACATCCACGCTTCCTCCACCAAAAAAGGCAGATAGACGCGACTTTTTTCCCTGAGCAGGAAGGGAAGGATAATATCAACGCAAGAGATCTTTCTACTGAACACATTTCAAGATGTCTCTCAATATCCCAAATGCCCCAAACTCTAACCTTTTTAAACAAGGTTATCAAAAGTAGGAGTTTCTCCCTAAATTCATACAAAATACAAAGCTAACCCCCTCCAAAGCTATGATTCTGAAGATGGAGCAGTTATTCGTAACATCGATGCATGCCGGACTATTGCTTCAACAGTTCAAACTTCTTTAGGACCTTATGGACGAAACAAGATTGTCATTAACCATCTGCAAAAGATGATCCTCACATCAGATGCCGCAACTATCCTTCGAGAACTCGATGTTGTCCACCCCGCAGCAAAGCTTATCGTCATGGCCAGTCAGCAACAAGAAGCCGAGATGGGAGATGCTACAAACTTAGTCATTGTTCTTGCAGGGGAACTCTTAAAGAAAGCTGAAGATCTTTTAAGAATGGGATTAAAAACTAGTGATATAGTTATAGGTTACGAGCGAGCACAGAAGTTTGCTTTGGAAGAGTTAGAGAACTTAGTGGTGGACAAAGTAGAGGATATGCGATCGCAGGCCGAACTCAGCAAAGCTATTCGAACTGTTATTGCAAGCAACACAAACGGCAACGAGGATTTCTTGGCAAACATGGTCGCCGAAGCTGTTTTGGCCGTTCTCCCAAAGAACCCAATCAACTTCAACGTCGATAACATCCGAGTCGTTAAGATTATGGGAGGAAGCTTAGAACAAAGTCGGGTCGTCAAGGGTATGGTTTTCGGCCGTGAACCAGATGGATCAGTCAAGAAGGCCACCAGGGCAAAGGTCGGTGTATTCTCATGCCCAATCGACATCAGTCAAACAGAAACCAAGGGTACCGTTTTATTACATAACGCCAAGGAGATGTTAGATTTCACAAAGGGAGAAGAGAACCAGTTGGAAACTGCCATCAAGGAGCTTTATGATTCCGGTCTACGAGTCGTTGTTGCTGGTTCTACTGTAGGTGAACTTGCCATGCATTACCTTAACCGCTTTGGTATTTTGGTCATCCGCATTCTCAGCAAATTCGAACTCAGAAGATTATGTAGAGTCGTCGGTGCTACTCCGCTAGCCCGACTTGGAGCACCAATGCCTGATGAGATGGGAAGTGTTGATATTGTGGAGACCCTCGAGATTGGTGGAGATAGAGTTACAGTTTTCAGACAAGAGAACGAAACCACAAAAACTGCCACTTTGGTCCTTCGAGGAGCAACAATGAATCATCTTGATGATGTCGAGCGTGCTGTTGATGATGGTGTCAACGTCGTTAAGGCCATCACAAGAGATCCAAGACTCGTACCGGGTGCCGGAGCTACAGAGATTCAATTGGTTGAGAGGATACAAGCATTCGGTGACAAGACTCCTGGTTTGGCTCAATACTCCATTCGCAAGTTTGGTGAGGCTTTCGAAGTTATTCCAAGAACCATTGCAGAAAGTGCTGGTCTTGATGCCACAGAGACATTAAGCAGACTTTATACTGCTCACCACAAGCACGATAACTGGAATACTGGTGTTGATATTGAAGTAAGCCCTATTGGTACCATTTTCAGACTTATACTAATTTTGTCATAGAATGAGGATGATACCGGAACTCTTGATGCAAAGCAAGAGGGTATTTTAGATCTTATGATTTCAAAGAGTTGGGCTATCAAGCTTGCTACCGAGGCCGCAAGAACTGTGCTCTCTGTTGATCAAATTATTGTTGCTAGACAAGCTGGTGGACCAAAGCCTCCAGGACCAAATCCTGTAAGTTCACAATCTTTCCATTGACGATGATCCTTACTGATTGTGATAGAACTGGGATGAAGATTAGATATAATGCATTAAAAGCGCGTGGGAATGTAAAATACCAAGTCGTCATGAATTATGAAAGACAATTTACGATGTCCAACGAATCTTCTAATTTGTCCATGATTTACTCTTCCAAGCTTTTAAATTCTGTGCCGTCTAAACCTATTATGCAGTACTAATTCATTTCAATGTTAATCAAAGCTTCGAGCGCTATAACATAAAGTAGATTTTCATCCCCATTTGATCTCTGGCTTAGAGATATGTTGGAAGAATTGGCGAACGAATGAATCGCCCTTGCGATTAGACACCCCAGTCGTCTGATTTGACATGCAGGAGCTGATGCCAGGGCCGCCAAGCTCGTTTCGACGGTCATCTAAAATTGAGGACGTGTGTCAAAATCTTTTTCGGGAACTAACAAAAACAAATCCTCCTTTCAAAAATCATAAACCATCTGAAATTAAACTCAAAACAAAGATCAGATGAACCCTGATCATTTGACGAGCGATGAGATCAATCAGTGCAGATCAAACGGATTCTCCCGAGACTTGACCTCCTAACCGCCAAATAAAACGGCTACACAGGAACAGATTTGCGACGCGTGTGGTTTCATTACTTGCATGTTTGCTCAGGTGAAGTTGATAATCTGTTTATTCTGCGTTAAGGAAAGCCCTAAGAGGACTTCTTGGTAATGTCCTACTTACCAAGTACCTTTGCTTTTCAATTCATATGCTGTGACCTTTGACAAGAAGTGTTTCGAGGACCGCTGGTACAATGTTACTCAAGTATGTAAAGTTGATATATACCATCGTGAGTTTTCTGCTTCATTGCACATCACAAACTTCAATTGCGATTATTTCTATTTTCCTACTCTCATTACTATTTCTTCTTTCGTTCTCTACTTTGAATTTACCTTCCTTAAACTGCTGGGCAGTCTTCCATTCTTTTCAACAATTGTACAAGTAATTTTACTCCTTGCCATCAATCATTTTTACCCCATTACATATCAACCCGCAATCATGTATCTCTTCATTTTATTGTTACTTTTAGCAACACGGGGTTTTGCTTCCCCCGCCTTTCGTAAGAGAGTTGTCGCTTCTCTTGATCAGACTGCCTTTGAGGAAGCACAACAACGGGACGATACTGCAACGAGAGCTTTCACATCGGTTCCAATCACAGTATGGTCTTCTTCTGCTTGAGCTCAGTTTCTGAGGTGCTAATCAAGATGTAGACTTCGTCAGGGCAGTGTCTCTTCGTGGATGAACTTTCCGGTGACTTCAGAGCGAACTTGACACCAATTCAAATAGCTGCCTGTGATGGCAGTACGGGGCAGCTTTGGGACGTTCTCACTAGTGGAAAACACAACAATGTAGCAGGTAGTATGCTAGTTGTCAATACTTTGGTGGGCAAAATCAACCCCTTTTCCGTCTCTTTTAAGGACTAATGAGTTTAGACCCAAGCTTGTTTAAACTTTGATCCTCGCCGTGCGGCGGGCAATACTGTCATCATGTTTTCTTGCGGTGGTCGGGCCGACGGAGGTATTTATTGTTTGTTGCTTTTTAGTCGCCAGGTTCTTACTGACCTAAATTAGATGGGCTTGTCACAAACTCCCAGCTCTTCCCATTCAATGAGACTTCCGGCCCACTTACTCTTACTCCCGAAAATGCCCCAGGCACCTGTTTATCTGTTACTACTGCGAACGTTCTCGATCAGGCTCCCTGTGATGAATCCGATTCTAGCCAAACATTTACTTTCGGTGCCTCAAGTGCCTCCGCCGATCCAGCAGTCGCTAGCTCTGTTGCGCCAGTGGCCTCAGATGCAGCAGGTTTTTCATCGTTGCCAACTCCTGCTTCTTCATCATCAGTGGTCATCACTGCAGCTGCCTCCGCTGTACCGACAAGCGATTCAACGACCCCTCTTTCCGTCTCCCGTGCTGGAGGTGTACTCAATCCTTCCGCCGCAGCTGAAGCCAACGAAATGGATAATACTGCCGTAAAGGCTTTTTCGTCCGTCGCTTTGAAAGATGCATCTGGTCAGTGTCTATTCGTTGATCCAACTGCGGGCGACTTTAGACAGAATTTGATTCCAATCACTCTACAAACATGTGATGGAAGTCAAAACCAAGCTTGGGATATTGTTACAAGTGGAAAGCATAATAACGTAGCCGGCTCGGTGCTTGTAGTTAGCAGCTTGGTGAGTAGTTATCTTCTCCATAGACAGTTGTCGCAAGATGCTAATAATTCTGGACAGACTCAAGGATGTCTTAACTTTGACCCGAGAAGAGCTGCTGGCGATACAGTTATTATGTTCTCTTGCGGGGGAAGAGCCGATGGCGGTATGTATTTTCGAAATTGTTTTATATCACTAGAAGAAGAAACGCCCGCTGATACTTTTCAAAGATGGTTTGGTGACAAACTCGCAACTATTCCCTTTCATAGAAGGCCAAACAGACATTTTACTTGCCCCTGAAAATGGGAATAATGCAACCTGCCTTGTAGCAAACGCTGATGGAAAGCTAGACTCGACTACTTGTGCTGGTGACGCTACAAGCCAATCATTCACTATTTTGACAATTTAGAAGCAATACATTTTTGATATGGTTACATTGGGGTCGTTTTCCGCATCTGGAGTATTGCGAGACAGTTCCCGGGTAGAAGTTTCAGGAGTCTGTTAAATATTTATTTGATTGGAAGCAAACAGATGCATCGTGTAGGGTGTCAGATCCTTGAAAAAGTCGGCGGCTATTCGCGTACTGCTGGCAAATATGTGATTATTTTTGTTGATTGGTCGGCCTGGCAATTACGCGGCCATAAACAACTATTATAAGAATTATATAATTGCTGCTCTTTCTGAACTGCAGCAACAAATTCGTCAATTTCAATATTTCAATACCTTTAAGCAGTTCAACCTTTTTTGCGACTAAGAATGTCCGATTGGGAGACAGCCTCAGGAATCAGTTCACTCAGCTCAGATTCCGCTGAACATAATGAATTACTCAAATTGCTTCGCGGGATCAACGAAAAGCTTTCCCGGGATCTTGATATCCAATTACGTGTTTAACGCCTCCACACCCAATCAACCTAGTGCTACTCGATTTGATCCTGTTCGAAGTGACATTTGGCGATGGTATGAAAACATCTACCGTGGGCCCAAAATAGCGCTTTTTATCGAACTACCACCGTCGAGACCAACTTCGCCGATAGAGGGCAAAACTTCCCAACACAATAGAATTTAATCTATTGAAAATGACATTAATTCCTACGAGTGTCTAGATAAAGTTTCAGAGAGCTTGATATCTTGGTGTCATCCATACTCAGCTACTCCACTCGACGATTCTGGTGCCTTGAAATTCTGCACGGAAATTCTGACAGACTCTCTTGGTGTAGCTTTACACATTCCATCCGATGACCGCATAGGGCTCCCTTTCACCATTCAGGGAATACATGAACACTTTGAAAGAAAGAAACGTAATTTCGAGCCGCTGGGACTGGACGGAATGAATCAGTTTCCATCACTCCAGGAAGCTACAAAACTATCACAGTGTAATATGACACGGTCGAGTGTCCAATTTTTGATTGAAAATTATGATCCATGGGCGGAGAGAACCTATAGCTTTGATGTCTTAAAATGTTTATCGGAGGCCAACAAAGATACTCGCTCTATTGAATCTTCTCGTTCTGTAGAATCTCACTCGGGTTATCTAGATTTTTTTCTTTGTAATTTAAGAAAACGTTTGATGCTAGACAAGGAATCTTTGCTTTTCCCATATATGTAAGTGAGTCTTAGGCTCAATTAACTGATTAATGCTAACGTATCCAGGTCCGAACAAATACTAACATTCGATCCTCTGATACTGCCGCAATTAGGATCCTTCAAAACACCTGCTCCTTGGCGACGTTTGATGTCAGCAATACCTTTGAAATTGTTACTTTTACAGTGGTATTCAGTGGGACTAACAAATCGTAACATGCAGATTACTCAATGGAATGGCGAATACGGGTCATTGGAACTATAGCAACAAGCACAAAAATGGTCATTCCCGCGATAGAAACAGCACAGGCATCTGCTGACAATTTTCTATCGAATAAAGTTGCACAAGAACTGTTCAATAGCCACCTTGAGAGTCAATTTCCAAGGTTTTCGCCTAGTCAGTTCACAATTCCTCTCACTACACTCTCACTTTCTTCGAACTAGTCGATGGTTGTGATGTTCCACTCAAAGCCATATCGCGATGGAAGACCGGACCGTTCTTTGGTGATAACCCAAAATCTGCTCATCGTCATCTGAGACTTTCTACCCTTACTGTATTCATTCCATATTGTTTTCCATGTTCTTTCGTCTCAGGTCATTATTCGTTGCTAATTGAATTTTCAGGTCTCAATTTTCACCTCTAATGATTATATAAACACCCTTGATTTTGCTCATGGGCCTTTCGATCCATTCTACACGATTCTTATACTAGGGGCAGACGAATTCTTTATTAAAAGAAAATCAAAGTACATCCTCACACATGATACGGCAATTCATGCTGAGCTGGAATGCGTTGAACTGGCGCTTTCTTTTGTTATAGAGAGATGGAAGGGGCTAAACGTTCCCTTCCGCGAACTTTTGGAAGAAAATTTCCTAGACATTGAGCAATATTCCAACTTGCTTTTTGACGACGAGAGATTCACTCGCTCTAGAAAGTATTTCTGGGCCATTGGTTGTTTGACCGAAATCGATAATGTCTTATCTGATAATATCAAGCAATGGGAGTTATATTATAAGGAACACCTGCAGCCATTACTGGATGACGAAGATACAAAACACCTATTAGAAGCGGCATGTCTGTATCCACCAAGAGAGCGGCAAACATTTAGAGGTGATCATATGCTCGAGCAGCTCAAAAAAACAATCCAACAAGCGCAAACACAAGTCAACACCCTCAAAGAACTACGCAGCGATTTCAGTAGAAAGTTGGAAACAACAAAGGCTTTGCGAGATGGGGTAAGTTGATAGTTGTTTCACAAAACTCATGAATTATAGATCAGAATAGTCTCTAATGCTATAATTTCTGAAATAGCTATTCAATGCCAGCGCACTGGTGGAGAGCAGGGCGTCCACGAGGCTAGGAGAAAACGTCAAACTTTTGACGTATGTCAGCATATTTTATTTGCCTCTCGCTTTCTGTGCGGTAAGTGCATCATTAAAATTGATCTTCTCCGTTATTCTCACATATCTTAGGCGCTCTGGGCCATTCCAAACATTCAGCAAAGCTCTACGAAAGTGCCATTCATCATCACGGCGTGCATCGTGGGTGCAATAACTTATGCAATTGTCCTTAACATGGACTTCATATCGCAAAAGATTGACGCCAATTATAACCCTCAACGACAGAAATTGGTGGACCACATACAAAAAGACAATAGCGAATGGTGGCAAGAAACCGGAAAGAGATTCGAAGTGTTCAAACCAACGAGCGAAAGCAAGGTTCCTACAGAATGGTGCATACCTATCTATTTGATCAGGAAAATCTTCAAACGTGGCTCTTGTACAAAAAAGGCCAGTAGGGAAGCTGAGAATAGCTCATTTGCGTGTTCCGATTCCGATTGCTGTTCCCAGTACGGCTCAATCGAGAGAAACTACAAACGCTCCAAATTCAAGAATGTGTTTGCGAGGCTTCGCTGGGGCAGAAAATCCGGAGATGCCCCTGTTTGAATGTGTTTATGTACCTTTGCATACACTTGCTTTACTGGTGGTGGAACTTTATACGTAAATGCTGGTGGATATTTATTGGCTGGCAATTGCCGTGCTGCGCCACATGCATCTATTCACGTCTTTCCTCTGACAAATGTTTGCCTCCGACATATCAGATAATGGAGTTGACCATTCATTTCTATCAGATTCAGAACCATGGTTTCTCAAATACTTACCGCGTCTTTGACTGCTTTATTGATACTTGTATCCATTTTCCTCATGCGTCGCCTTCTATTCTCAATGCGAACGGACAGCCTGATTATCCCAGAAATCACGAGAATCAGCAAGACTCTCGCAGCGGCTCTGCCTGAAAGTGTTATTCTACCACAAAGTATTACTAGTTTCAACAAAGCAGTGGATGGCTACTGGGCAAAGCAAGAATGCGAAATAAACCCATCATGTATTGTTCGTCCCCGCAATGATGAGGAAATTTGCACAGCTGTCACAATTCTCAGGCGTGAATATGATGAACGGAGAAAGGAAAAGGTCGGTAAAGAACATAGATTTGATGGGTTGTTCGCTATCCGTAGTGGCGGCCATTCTTGTGTTGCTGGGGCTGCGAGTATCGAAGGAGGTGTTCTTATTGACCTTAGTTGTTTCAACGAGGTTGTACTTTCTGAGGATAATGATGAATCGAGTGTGACTATTGAAGCCGGATGTAGGTGGATGGATGTTTCAAAAGTTTTGGATGAGAGGGGTCTTGCTGTCGTTGGTGGTAGAAATTCTGCTGTGGGAGTCGGCGGGCTGACTTTAGGAGGTGAGTTTATGATTATTTGATACATGGAGCGGTTCTTTAATATCTGAAAATAGGCGGTCTCTCATTTTTCTGTCCTCAATTTGGTCTAGTATGTTCCAACATAATCAGCTATGATATCGTCCTCGCATCAGGAACTCTCACCACAGCCTCTGCAACCCAGAATCCTGATCTCTGGCGTGCCCTGAAAGGAGGTTCTAACAATTTCGGCATCGTTACTCGCTTCAAGGCTCGCAGTTTTCCCAGCACCAAAATCTGGAGCGGTTTTCTTCATATGCCTAGTTCTCAAACCAGCAAAGTTATATCCGCCTTCAATGAGGTCGTGAACAGAGTTGATTGGGATCACCATGTTGCTGGTCCTTTGGCATGTTTTACATATATACAGCCATTGGGCGTACAAGCTATCTCCGTTAATTTGGTATACACGAGGCCCTCCGAGACAAAATGGCCAGAATATTGGAAAAGATCACGCTTTTCGTCGATGTGGCGTTTTTGGAACACGTGTAAACTGCGCACATTAACAAGTGCAACCGATGAAATGAATGCTCTTAATCCACCTGGAAAACGCCAAGTGCTCGCTACGACAACTATCAAGAATGATATCGCTACACTCGCCGCTACGCATGCTGTATATCAGAACGCTATTTCTTCACTGCGAAGTGTGAAAGGTTTAGTCTGGACGCTGGTCATGCAACCATTATTACCGGATTGGGTGCGCAAGGGTGATGCGAATCCATTGGGACTACATAATATCAATGAACCTCTCGTGATCGTGAGTTTTACAGTAAACTGGCCCAACGCCCGAGATGACGAAGTGGTGAAGAAAACCACACGTCGTGCAATCGAAGAGATTGAACAAATTGCAAAAAAGAATGGAACGGGTCATAAATGGAAATATCTTAATTACTGCGCAGAGTGGCAGAGACCATTTGAGGGATATGGAGAGGAGAATGTAAGCTTTTTGAGGGATGTTAGTCGAGCATATGATAATGAGGGGTTGTTTCAGAGAGGTTGCGTGGGAGGGTTTAAGCTTGGCCTTCCTGCCGATGGTGAATTGAGAGATGATCAGTCCTGAATATTGTTTCACTTGCTCGAGAGCTTCAGATAGACTACAGGCGTGTATATATATATCACAACACATGCCAATCCTTTTAGACAAGGTTCATTCTCATTCGTGCTGGGATTTGCAATAGCCCAGACCTCAGTCCTGCAAATAAGAAAATTTTATTCTTGAGTCCAATCAAAATATCCAAATCGCTTAAATTGTTGTATACACTATAGATAATGAATTGTTTTTAGGTGCTGGAAGCTCGAATTGAGCCTGCTGGTCTGGACCACTAACCACTTTCTTGGTGAGGTGCTTACCAGTCATGCCAAGCAAGTTAGAAATCATATCGATCTCATCTCCACAGCAATAGACTGTAGTAGAACTTATCACCCTGCAAAGCCTCCAGCTCCTCGTGCCGCAATTCACTTTCTTAAGACATCGCAGGAGGTTTAGTAGTTACTGCTAAGTTGTAGGTAGTGCTAACGAAAACTTTTGAAAATCACAATATCAATTACAACAGTCAAATACATTCAAAGCAATACTCGAAACAAAAGTGACATTCATCATATATATTGCAGTCACCTGATCGTCTGAAATGCGATCATGCTATAATATAGGTAGGTAGAATAATAATACAAATCTAAACAACCAACCACTCATCGTCTTTCCTCGTGCGAAAAAAAATCCAAAAATAATTCCACACAAACTCAACAAAAAGTTCCAAATGCTAAACAAACAATGCAAGTACCACATCCCGCGCGTCAAAATGCCAAACACGTCCAGATATATCCATACCTTTTTACCGTACCATCATTGCCAGGTCATCCCATCAAAGATTTAAGGAAAATGGGAATTTATATCCATATACATGTGTCAATACATTTCTGATCGTTATACTCTTCGAGTGAATTCTACTCCAAATGTGAAAAGAGAATTTACTCGCAAGCAGACCACCAGTCGTCAGTCTTAACACACTTGAAGCCACTTGCACACACAGTGGATCCGGTGTATCCTTCACCTCCGCACTGGCTCCATTGTGGAACAGCTCCGGAAGCAGGAGTGGCGCTTGCACCGGCAGGTGCAACGGTGGTTTGTTCATCAGCAGCCTTGGCGGTGGTAGTAGCAGCGGCCTTAGCGGTAGTGGTAGCAACAGCCTTGGAAGAGACAACGGTAGACTTGACTTTAGTGGTAAGGGTAGTTGGGGCAGGAGTGCCGGAAGCCTTGGCAGTAGTTGCTGCAGCAGAGGTATTGGCGGAGCCATTAGATCCTGAAGCAGGGGCGCCTCCAAGTGCTTTGTTGATGTTGGCAAGGTAACCATTGTTTCCAATGATAGTGACCATATCCCAAGACATGATACCACCGAAGCTCTTGAAAGTCTTGGAGTAAGTGATGACATCAGTAAGAGTGGCTTGATCAATATAACCTGTTGTGGCGGCGCTGGTGCTACCTGGGATACCGACGAAAACCTTGACATTCTTGTTCTTGGAGGTAGTTGAAGCCCAGGTATCCCATGTGGCCATGTTAAATTCGGATTGAGTGGTGCTTCCCTTGACAAACTTGTTAAGACCACAGTTGTTGTTATAGAATTGGACGAAGACAGCATCGAAAGAGACTGCGCCTTGAAGGAAGGACTTATCAGCTTGATCCGGGTAAGGACATTGTGGGGCGGCAGTCAAGTAGTATTTCTTGCTGGTCTCAGCATCTGAAAGAGTGCGGAGTTCTTGAGCGAAGACATCCAAGTTGGTAAGACCTTGGGTTTCGATATCAAAATCGAAACCATCAACGACAGCGTCACCAAATGGTCGAGTTGTGGAGGATGAGGTCTTGGGACCAAATGCAGCCCAGACATTCTTGGCCGCAGTAGTTGCGGCATCAGCATTTGCGAGTTCATTCTCGGTGTAAGTTGCTCCTCCAATGGAGAGGAGAATTGTCTTACCCATACCCTGGCAAGTGACGATGTCCTTTGCGACTTGAGCGGGATCTGCGTTTCCAACATTGACAGTCAACTTGTTGAGAGAGATCAAGAAAGCAATGGGGATGATATCAAAGCCAGCATCTGTAATTGTTTGTCAGCGTTTTGTCTTATGTTTTTTCAAGCAGACGAATGATTGTAAAGTCTTACTTGAGCAGTATGATGCGAGTGTCCCTTGGTTGGGACCTTGACCCCAGTAGATGGCAACACTGTTAGAAGAGGTGGAACTAAAGCCAGCAAAGGCAGATGGAAGGGATGCGAGCATGCTCGCGAACCCGATGAGACTTTTTGTTGAGTACATGATGAAATGAAGTAGAGAAAAAAATAACTAAATTCTAATTGTGAAGTGTAGATTGTAAATTTCTAATGAAGGAATGAAGGAAAGTAATGGGATGAAAACCCGAAAAGGAAACAAATGAATGTGAGTGGGAAATGAATGTGAGTAGTTGTTGTTGATGATGCTTTACTTTCCAACCCGGAAGAGCATACTTATATAACCTCATCTCGAGACCGCTGAACAGATTCCTCATTCGGTGAACTTCAAAGGCCTCCCGTTGCGAAGCATTCGTTTACCATGAATAGAATCATAATGAATTGCGCCTTCTTGGAGCTACTTCGGGTTGCAGTGGGATCATTTCTGAGATGAAGTGCGAATCCTATGCCAAGCCATCCCAATCAGTACACACAAACCTTGAATTCCTTCGAGAGAAATAATATGGTCTGGTCATAATTTGTCGAACGAGATCCAAGAGCCTTCCTGGAGTAGTGACATCATCAAACCTCAAAATTTGATGACCGTTAGCAACACGCGGAGCCAAAGGATATATTGAGCTGATTCGTCTCTCACGAACGTGCTCGTACGGCTCATTGGCATCCTCCGCCTAAACCTGCCGGTCAACATCTAATCCACCCCTGTCAGTTGGCAAACGTGCCGATTAGCATACGTGCCAACAAACAAAATTCGTGATCTTTGAAGACCCTACCATTTGGAATTTCATAAAAGTCTTAAACCCTTTAGACCACTTATAGCATATAGTATTTGAGTTAACATTGCGACATGGCCGTGGCCAAAGTCCCAAATGCCGATAGCCTACTAGCTAGTCTAGAGCAATACACCAACCGTGTTTGCGTAACTTTTGAATAGCATAAACAGAAGATGGAATCAAGCAAAGTCCTCATTTGGAGTC